ATTTTGCAACAAATCTGATCTCTTAGTTTGCTTTCAGTCGATGCACGATACCGCATCAGCTTTTTAAGGAATTTATCCTTAAGTAAAGCGATTTTTAATTTTTTGAGCGAAAACCATGCGTCGAACAAAGAAAACCCAGCAAATCAAATGTGCTCAAAAATGTATGGAGATTTCAAAAATAATTTTTAATTCAAGATAAAGCAGTGGCGTAGTATTTTTTTCGCCAAAAATATACATTTCAAAACTCGTACGTACGCCACTGGCAAGAGAAAATTAAGAAAATTGTACATCAGAAAATGCGTCTTAAGGCATGGAACATATGTACAAAATATGCCAAAGATGTCTACAAAATTATCTCAGTTATTATTAAAAAACTGATTATTTTTGAAAACTTTGCCACCCTGTATCTGAAAAGTTAAGGCGTTTAGGACATACGTCCATAGGACGTTTTTTCCTTAAAATGGGTGTAAGAATTACCTCCTTAAATATCAGCATGTGTTTAAGGAACACCCTGTATATCTGCCAATTGGGAAATAAGATTAAAACAGTATTCTTGAAAAATAGTTGATACACTTAGGTGACGTATATTCAAAATAGAGTGTTATCAGATATTTCATGAAAATTGTTCCTCATTTGGAAAGTATTATTCTGAATGTAATTATTTCGTAAGGAATGATATAAAACTCCTTTTCCTACAATTTAAAATCGTTGAGAGATTGAAAACTGGTGGATTCAGCAAATAGTTTATGCAAAAAAAATCATAAAATAATGTGGGATGAAGGTGATGTTACTTAGTTCTTTGGGGAAGATGAGTCGAAAAAAAAATGTTCATAACGTACTTCTGACCAGCGACCAACTTTCCATTTACCGATGCATCTTTCACTGAAACATTCTTGCTTGTCGACTGGTTTCTGCTGAAAGTCACACTTTGAGGGATCCACTGTGAGATTGCCTCCTATTTCACATCTAACGATCCTTCGCTGTAAAGCTATATCAATAATAATCTAATTAGTGACACGAATATAAGATTATGAAAGGTAATTATGATGATAAGTCCTACAAAATAAAATTACCCTGACCTCCAAACTCAGTTATAATTAAGTGATGTTATAACCCGTCAAATTTAATTTAATTGGTCTCCGATTTTTTGTTGCATCTCTGGAAGAGAATTGTATATGTGCAGATGTTTTACCGGAAAGACATGCCAAGAAATGCATCAGTTGTGATATATGACTAACTTTTTTGCGAGAGAAAATAACTAAATGCCCATATTAAAAAAGAATTTATTGATGAAATACAATTAATACACAATTGATTTGAAAATTATACCAGATCTTAATGAATAGTAGTAAAAATGAAATGAAAATCAACAGTTTTAGTTTTCTGATGATCGTGATCTAAAAAGAGATTTTTATTACCTCTATAAAGTCAACTTTTGACTAATCTAATCAACCTTTCGAATCTCACCCTTTCTGAGATGGAAATAGTGGGATCATCTAGAGAAGGTCTATATTTACTGATATTATTTGGCATTTTTACTTTACTTTATGCTAATGATGAAATAAAAACCTGCCAAATATATAAAAAAGTCAGTCGATTTTTTCAAAGGATATTTCATTTTTCACTGCAGTAAATGAAGCCTAGGTAAGGAGAAAACTGCTGGTGTCGATTCCAGAATTGAGAGCAACCAGCACTGTTCAGAAGATGATCACGCTTTTTCATTTCTGAATGTTGAAAATTCTCACCTTTGTGCCACGCGAAACATTTTGATTCCTCGCAAGGACTCCATTCGTGCGGTGTCCACTCCGGGCACTGATCAAAACCACATTTCCGTTTGGTTTTGGGTGTTTCCAGTCCAGCGTCTTCACATAAAATATCATCCACGGGTTGTGTTGTATTGTTCAACCTGAAATGTCAAAATTATATATAACTTAATTTCAAACTTCAGTTCGGGAATTCGATGAAAACTTCCTTGATTTCATATATAACAGTGGGAGAGTTCTCGTCGAAAATCTGTAAAAGTTCAACTTCAGTTATGAGAAGTTTCTGTAGAGTCAGCATTCTGGTAACGGGACACCTCGTGCTGGGACACTCAAAAAGATATAATATCTCGAGTGGTTAACATTTTCAAATTGTTTTCCGAAAGCTCTCAACTTATAGGTGACGAGCGAATCACAAAATGCATCAACGCGATAAACTTAAAACCCAATAAACGAATCTTCATACGGTTTTAACTAATGAACGGAATGATTCATGGGGAATGTGTAGGATTCAATAAGGTTTTGTGTGATTAGGTTGGAATATGACAATATTTTTCGTGCCAAGTCGAGGCGGTAGTGCTATCCTTCCAGCTTTCTTTGGGATAATCGTTTAATAGAACAATTCACAACATATCGTAGTAAATCATGTTTTGAAAAAAATAACGCCGGCCGCCACTGATAGTCATAAACCACCTGTGACGTGCTCAAGGGCGCGCGCAGCCTCGATTATTCTAGTCTTTGCACCGGCTTCGATGGAATTCCGGCAAATATTCCACCGACTTCGATGGAATTCCGAGGAATTTTCTACAGCTTCCGATTGCTAAATATAAAGACGATTCACTCGCCTATCGAGACAGTCAAGTGGAAGTGACAGCGCGGTAGGCAGAGCGATCTAATAAGGCGGTAGACAATTGGATAATAGTTCAGTTTTAGTTGAAGTGTTTTGATATTTTTAAAGTAGAATAAAGTTGAGTTCGATTATCGTTCATTGTAGTCAATAATTGGTAGACCCACGGAAAAAACGTAACATTTGGTGTGTAATAATTGACTGGAAATTTTATGTTTTATGGTGAAAACAATGAGTTTCGACTAAGACGAACTTAAGAAAATGTTCTGAGGTATGCAAGCTGGCCTGGCGAAGATTGAAAAACGCAGAAGAGAAGATGTATGTAGAAGAGAGGAGAAGTTGAACACCGAAATGAAGACCGTGAATTGCTACTGAATATTCTGGAAAAATAAGAAAGGAACAGAGAGAAATATCGTGAATAATTGGTAAACATTCAAGAGAAACATGGCAATGAGATGTACTTTAATTTATTCGAAGATTTAAAATCTTCTCATGTGTGTAAAGGTGAGGTACAAGAATTTATTCAGGAAGAATTAGGGAAAGTATTTCAGGGGACAAAGGAGGGATTGGGAAAAGTAGTAGATGAGTAGCTTGACGGGGCTGAAAGAAAACTTGAAACGAAGCTTGAAGGAGTCGAAAAACAAATTGAAGAGGTTTTCCGGAAACTTCGGAAAGGAAAGAGTCATGGAAACGCAGATAGCCTCTGAAGAAGACTGTGCCTGATATAAGGCTTCAAATTTTGTCAACGCCAAGAGGACAAGGATACCCAGTTACCAGAATAAAATTTTTTGACCAGACGTGATAAGGTAGCGGGCAGATACTCTTTCATGGACAGCTTTATTAGGAAGATAAGCTTCCCTACCTCATGCCTCTTTGGGCTCCCTCTGACCGGGAGGGTAGCAACCTGTAAGGGTCATGACAAGGCAAGACATTATGATAGTGCAGAAAGGGGATCCGGTATTGAAAACTATACGAGAATGGATTGACAAAGGAGTTAGCAAGCACAGTCAACAGGAAAACGGTTAGTGGCTCCAACGGAACGCCATGTGCATTCGAAATGACCTACTCACTCGGAAAGGAGAAGTTGAACACCGAAATGAAGACCGTGAATTGCTACTGAATATTCTGGAAAAATAAGAAAGGAACAGAGAGAAATATCGTGAATAATTGATAAACATTCAAGAGAAACATGGCATTGAGATGTACTTTCATTTATTTGAAGATTTAAAATCTTCTCATGTGAGTAAAGGTGAGGTACAAGAATTTATTCAGGAAGAATTAGGGAAAGTATTTCAGGGGACAAAGGAGGGATTGGGAAAAGTAGTAGATGAGTAGCTTGACGGGGCTGAAAGAAAACTTGAAACGAAGCTTGAAGGAGTCGAAAAACAAATTGAGGAGGTTTTCCGAAACTTCGGGAAGGAAAGAGTCATGGAAACGCAGATAGCCTCTGAAGAAGACTGTGCCTGATATACGGCTTCAAATTTTGTCAACGCCAAGAGGAAAAGGATACCCAGTTACCAGAATAAAATTTTTTGTCCAGACGTGATAAGGTAGCGTGCAGATACTCTTTCATGGACAGCTTTAATAGGAAGATAAGCTTCGTCACCTCACGCCTCTTCGGGCTCCCTCTGACCGGGAGGGTAGCAACCTGTAAGGGTCATGACAAGGCAAGACATTATGATAGTGCAGGAAGGGGATCTGCTATTGAAAACTATACAAGAATGGATTGACAAAGGAGTTAGCAAGATATCTACAAGCACAGTCAGCAGGAAAACGGTTAGTGGCTCCAACGGAACGCCATGTGCATTCGAAATGACCTACTCACTCGGAAATAGGAAAGCCCGGATGAAAAAACCCACAAATTTCAGATATTCCTTTCAAAGACATGTATCCCGAATATCTTTGAATAACTCCACGATGTCGCACTGGAGGGCATTTTGGAGTGAATAGAACTCTAGCGAGAGTGCGTGAGAGGTATTATTGGGTCAATTGCCGCCAAGACGTGAAAGAGTGGTGTGAGCGTTGTGACCTGTGCTCTAAGAGAGAGGGTTCGAAGACAAGGCAAAGTGAAAAATTTCACTCGAATGAAGAGGTTATTGCTGGAACTAAGACATATTTTTTTGGTATTGAAAAAAACAATTCATTAGTGAGATAATATGCATGAGAACTGCACTACGATTATTTTGAATTTTATGAACCTTCTAATGCATTAATCTAGATTAATGCATTAATCTAGAGCCGATAACGATACAGATCGAATATCCTTGAAACACATCAGTTTGAAAAAAATGCAAAAACAAGTCGATTTCAGTCCAAAGGGGACATCTTTCTATCATAACGTCAACTGTCATATACCCCCTCTAGCGCCAATTGGTGATTTTATAATGCATTTATCTATGTGACTGTTTATTACGTAACTTTTCATTTTGGCGCCCTTCTTGCTGGAAAAATGATATCATCGAGTAGCTTCAGAAATATTCTGAAATGTAAGATAACCTTTCGAAAATAACGAATACCAGTTCATGACAGTTGATGGAGAACAGTTAGAGTATCTACTGTGCATTATCATAGATCAGAATGATTGAAATCATACCCAGTTTTACATCTTTCAGGTTCACACAATGTAATTTTTTTAAATTTTTTGTTATCGCAAGTAGGCGCCACAATGAACAGTCACATAGATGATTGACAAATTCGGCAAAAATTTACGTTTTTGATGTTAGGTCATATTTAGTACTTTCCTCATTTAAATTCTAAAGATAGTTATGATAGGCGACTTTAAGATAAAAAATTGTCATATTTGAATTGAAAATCGACCAAGTTTTGCATTTTTTTTCAGAACAATGTGTCTTGCAGATATTCGATCTGTTTCGTTGTATAATACAGGTTGTATAATACTGGAACTACCTCGAACAAATGATTTCATTGAAAAAAAGTATTGCAATATTCTAGTGCTTCTGGAAATATAATAATAATGATATAATATATTATTCATTTCATCAGTTCGGACTTCCATTGTCTACTATAATTGATTTGAAATCTCTGAAAAAAAATCAGAAAGATTAACCGAAAATAACAATTTTATTAAACAAAAAACTGAAATCACAAAGAAATTACATACAACCAACAACCAAAAAATTGAAAATTGGAATAATATTAAAAGCTGAAAATGAAAAAATAAAAAAATATTATTAACAAAAAATGAAAAATAAAAATGAAAAATTCCAAACCAAGTTACGTCACGAAGTTTCGATTGTAAGTACCCACAATCGTTTTCTCAGAACTCAGAACTTGTCCAGATTTTTACTACCAATAATCAAATCACTGCAAGGTAAAACGCCATCTTTTGTAAAAAATTCAAGGCATTTCGTTGAACTACTAGGGGAAATCGAAGTCAAAGAGCAGGATCAACTCATCATTTTTGACGTGGAAAGCCTCTACACCAACGTTTTTGTCGAAGAAGCACTTCAAATTATACAGAAGAAACTATCCGAAGATGGAAACCTGAAAGATAGAACAAACTTACCGATACAAGTACTTTTATGGAATTACTAGGATTTATGGAGTGGTTTGAAATTCTGGCCATTGAATAAGTCCACAAGAAGCCCCGATTCTGGTTGAGACACCTTCATAAAATGGAACCATGGGAATGCAGAACTAGATACTTTTCTGAAGCACTTCAACATCGTAAGTTCTTCCATCACTTTCACAATGGAGAAGGAAGTCCACAACGAACTACCTTTCTTACTTTCTTAGACGTATTGGTGAAGAGGACCGACACTAAATGGAAAACATCTGTATATCGAAAATCCACTCACACAGAAGTATCTGAACCATAAATCCAACCACCATCAATCGACTAAGAGAGGAATAATCAAGACTCTACTAGACCGTGCTTTCGTAATATATAAGGAAGGTTTCAAAAAGGAACTAGGCATCATCAAAAATGACCTTCAACGAAATGGTTACTCCAGAGTGATGGTAGAACAGGCTTCAGCTAGAAAACATCAAGAGCCCCACAAGGAAGAGAAGCCGCCACAATCAGTACTTGTACTTCCCTACATCAGAGGATTATCAGAAAGGATAGGAAGGATTGGGTTCAAGTATAACATCAAGACTTGCTTTAGATCTGGAAACACTATTCGTAGCAGCCTCACAAAAACCAGGCCACCAAACGCGGATTGCGATTCCAAGAATTTCATTTAACGGATACCCTGCGAGTGCGGAGAATCATACATCGGTGAAACTAAGAGGACATTGGAAGTACGCATTGCTGAACACAAGAAACACACACAGCAAGGAGAAACCAGCAAATCCAGAATAGGATTTGCTAGTTTGGACTCATCAACATGACATCAAGTGGGATCAATCTGAAACCATCCATAAAGAGGAACACTGGTTTTGGAGAAAATTCAAAGAAGGTGCGTATATGTTGTTCAACAATGCATATAGATAAGCTAGCATAGAGATACGTAACATTTGGAAATGTCTAATCAAGCGAAAAACGACTAACTGCCGCCAAACAGTCATCTCCCGCTATAACCAGTGAAGCGGAGAGAGGGAAGAGGGGATAGGTGAAACCACTCGAATGACCTATAAATAGTCAGATCTTGAAGGAATAAGTCCACTTATCACCCGAAAATGATTGTGGATACTAACAATCGAAACGTCGTGACGTAACTTGGTTTGGAATCTTTTAATTTTTATTTTTCATTTTTTGTAAATACTATTTTTTAATTTTCAGATTTTATTGATATTTCAATTATTTATTTTTTTTGTTGTTGCTTGTATGTTACTTTTTTGTAATTTCAGTTTTTTGCTTGAAAATATTGTTATTTTCTACTAATATTTTAGATTTTTTCCAAATCAGTTTATATTATATTAGACAATGGAAGTCCGAACTGATGAAATACACTACGAAACATTGTCAACCACCTTCAAACAAATAATTTATTGTTTAATTGTAGTTCCTTATTACATATGAATACAATAATTATTCATTTTATATAATTAATAAAAAAAACTACCAATGAGGCTAGAAACAACATGTACCGGAAGAGTACTGTTGATCTTAATTCTAGCCTTGAAAACAAAAAATAATAAACTAGAGAAAAAACAAAAGAAGAAGAGAAAAGAAGAAAAGAGAATTAAGAAGAGGGAGAGAAAATATGTTGAATTTTTATACTGAAAATTTTTCAGAAGTATAGAATCTATCAAATCAATGACTCTCTGATTGGGAAGCGATGAGATATTTTTTGTAACAGATATTTTTTGCAAATGACTTTAGAACGAGTACATTGCATGCACTAAGTAAAAAAACATACTTGCACGATTCTTTTCGTTTCGAATCAGGAGTAAACAGAAGATTTATCAATAATTAACATTCGAAAAATTCTTTCCTGAAAACTTCAACCCACCTAACAATGCAGGTAACTTTTCTCATCTGCAGTCCACTACCACCGCATGTTTCAGAACACTTGGTCCATGATCCGATCTTCCACTCGAACACCAAGTTTTCCTTTCTTCCCTTGCCTAGCACCACTATGTTATCTCCCAGTGCATCGTCCGTCGTATTTTCTGCTTCTTCCAGAGGTGGGTTAGCGAAGAACTCTTCAGGAGCCTGCTGATCGTCAGGAAAGTCGATCATTCGGTGCCCCCTGGAGTTGCTGAATGTCTGGAAAGGCCAGAATTGCTACGTTTCTTATTAATAATGTCATCATTACAATTATATGCTGCTGTAGAGCAGCTGAATTAGTGGAATGTTTCAAAATATATTTCAAATACGTGGGAAAATGTTGATGTACACTAAAATTACAGTATTTGAAATGCAACTTTCAAAAATGCAAATACGAAAATTCAGATGGAAACTATTTCCATTGAAAACAAATTGTTTCGGAGGATTCATCCATGAAAAATGTTTTCTCGTTGACCCCAATTTATGTGAAATATCTTATTGTGAATTCCACATGAGCAGAACTAAACTGAAGTTTATACAGGGTGAGCCATCGAAAACTTGACATGGAGGTTTTGGGTACTAATCTTGCAAATCCTAAAAAACGCTCAGACAGGTCGATTTTTATTGGGAGGGGAACATTTTTATTCTCCGAAGTTTATACAGGGTGGGCCATCGAAAACTTGACATGGAGAAAATTTTCCTTCTATATCTAGCCAAAATAATGGGTCTGTATTGAAAAGAGAAAGTGTGTCCTGTGAGATATAAATAGAGAGTTTCAGAGTAAGGAATTAGTTTTCTTCATTTTCTGGAGTTTTTGAAACAAGCGTCGAAAAGATTCCTGGTGATTAGGAAAGGTATTCGTTTTGGTATTATCCTATCCTATATCGCAGAGAAAAAGATGGAAGCCAAAATAATGTCTCAATATAACCCATTCGTCTTATGTTACATCGTGACAAAGAAACAAAGAAATTCCTAAATCCTAGTAATATGCAAATACCTGTACCTGGATTAGATAAATTGTGTAAAACGAATTTATATTCACTCAGGCAGTTTGGTGTGCTAATACATGTACCTGGAATAACATTCGTCGACCCTTTTCTAACTGTTGTCATGCTCAGTGTTACCATTTTCATTTGGGTTCAAAGGCCGTTGAAGTTTGAAACTGTATCCTGACGTTTCGCCAGTACGAGTGGCTGGCTTCTTTATAGGTTTATTCATCTTGATGATTCACCGATGACTCATCAAGATGAATAAACCTCTGAAGAAGCCAGCAACTCGTGCTGGCGGAACGTCATGATGCAGTTCCAAACAACGACGGCCTTCCCCCCTGAATGAAGATAGTGACACTGAAAATCTTGGGAGCGAAGGCATCAACCAATTTGTCGTCATGTTGCTTGCTATTCTTGAAGAATGGGATGTTACATTCGGTTCAGGTTCACAGCTCATTTTTTCTGTTAAAATTGTTTTTCTGTTGAAACAAACAACGGCATGTATAATGACAGGTAGACCTGGGTCGACGAATGTTATCACAATTCACCTAATCCCAATTCCAAAAATAGGCGGCCTTCAATCCCGAAAAACAGTGGCACTGAAAAACTCGGCCGCGAAAGCCTTAACCATTTTGTCAATCTACAAATATTTCTCTGTCAACTGTTAATATATCTGGTGATGTGAAGAATCAACCAAATGCAAGTGGTAACGATGCAATTTCATATCCAAGTATACAACTATTTTTTTGTGATACAACTTACTATGATGTTGGTAGTTCGGATTTTTTTTCAGGACAAAACACAAGCACTACATAAAAATACTTAAGGCGCTCTCAGAGCGGTGCCTGCGCGAAAGTAGCGATTCACATTGGATTTGAATAGCTGAAGATTAAATCCATTTGGAGAATTGTTCTCAGGAAGTTTATTCCACATAAACGCAGTTCTCCAGATGATAGAGTTCTCAAACGGTGGAGTTCGAGGTGTACTAAGTTGAACCTCAAAACAATGAGCAGCTACAGTTCGTCGCGTATTTCTGATATGTACCGTTCTTGGTGGAATCAAATGTGCCAAGTTACTTAAGCACCTCCCGTGAAAGAAGAGAGACAAATTTTCAACCTTTTTTCGATGTTCCAGGCTATCTAGGTTGCACGTGATTTTCGCGTCTCCAATCAGGCGGATGGATTCCAGATGGGTTGGGAATTTTGTGTTCACAGAACGGCAAACGTTTTAAGCTACAATTTTTGTAACCACACGATAGTAAATCGACGATATGGAGAAAAGGAGATATAAGCAAATTTTATATAATAATAAAAATAATCTACGATTTTGCTTGGTATGATATTGAAGTGAAGAGAGTTTTATGAATGATCAAGAAACTCATTTGACCTTTCATTTGCATGAATTTGAATTATCTAGCAATAAAACAATTGAAATAAACTATTACTATAACTACAAGAACGCTACGTACATGCAAATACTGTGTAATAAAGGTTTACCTAAAAAGGTGTAGTAGTGCAGTCAGATGTGTAGCGGTTGAAGGAAAGAAACCATTAGAAAGGGACAACCATAACAGTATGTACGTTTCATGCAATGAGCTGGGACATCATTCACGAATATTATGAAAATATTAGAATACAAATTAATGAACAACAAGTCTATGGAAATTCAAAACGTGTTTAGTAATAGATCTGATCAAAGGTGTGCATAAATAACTTCAATTTCATTATACTCCCTTGAAATCGATAACCATACTTATGAACTGATTGTGTTCCAATCATCGTTTTCACTCATTAATTCATCTAAAATCATCCTATAGATTCTGATATTTTCATAGTTCATGGTTTCAACTCCTTAACGTTGAAACGAATAGCTTGATGTCCCAGCTTTCACAGAATAACACTCAAAAAAACATCATCAGTATGTCGAATTTCTAACCTGCAAATTAAATATTAGTCTTTGGAAGTTCGGCATCACTCGGCTCGCAGAACTGGGTGAATCCCCATGATTGGGGGGATTCAAGGATTCGGACGAGCTAGAGGGTAAATGGGAAATTCGATCCTTCAAGCAGCAATAAGGAAAATATATTCACATATTAGTTAGTTAGAAAATTCGAAAACGAATAGGAATATAGGAAAGTATTAAGGTTTTGGTTATTATTTCAATCGTTAGATTCTTCAAAATCGGAAATTTGCTAGTGACCATGTATAGAAATGGAGTCTCAGCAGAGAACATTTTTCAGGCTGCAAGCCCATGTTGAATTTTTAGGGAGTCATGATATACTTTTTATAAATGTATGATTTTCATCATACCAAAGTAGAAAATTGATGTGTTGAATAGTCTTGTAATTCGAACATCTCATTTCGAGAAAGGTTTGTTGGGTAACGATCAAATTATGATAGTAATAAACTATTTAGTGAAATTCATCATGAAACATTGTCAATCACCTTTAAAAAAACTATTTATTGTGTAGTAATATAAACAATTTCATACAAAAGGATGAAGTACACTTAAAATGATATCGAAATGATATTATCTCAAAAACTAATTGTTCTTTTGAGAACGTTTCAAGTTTAATTGAATTTTTGTTCACGGCTCTGTGACAATTAATTTTATGAAACATACTTGCTACAAACTTCATTATGAATGTTGTAGTTTTTCAATGCTATAAGAGGTTATAATAAAATTACCTACCAAAAATTGATTTTTCTATGTTGAAACTATAACAATGTTTTTAGGACAAAACACAAGGGAACCACGTTGGATTTGAATCGCTGGAGATTAAATTCATTTGGAAATACGTTTTCAGAAAGTTTATTCCACATAAACGCAGTTATCCTAATGAAGAGTTTTCAAACAGTGTAGTTCGAGGTGTACTGAGTTGAACTTCGAAACGATGAGCAATCACAGTCCGTCGCGTATTTCTTGATTGAATCAAATGTGCAAAGTCACTTGAACACCTCACGTGGAAGTAAATATAAGAGGGAGACAAATCGCCAACTTTCCTTCGATGTTCCAGAATATCAAATTGCAAGTTATGTTCGTGTCTCCAAATACACCATTAAGTTTTTTCTGGATGGAATCCGGCAGCTTCAGGGTATGCTTAAGGGCGGAGCTCTATACATGTGAACAATACTCCAAAGAAGGTCTGATTTGAGTTTCATAAATCATCAGGCTATCAGATACATGGAAAAAATAAAATCACTGTAGCAACCAAAATATTTGAAACCAACACAATATAAACAAACGAATGACTTCATCTATAATTTCGATAAGGTGGTTCTTATTTCCAATAATGCACCTATTTTCTATTTTAGTTCTTTCTCATTTTTTTCCTATTCTCATTCTTTTTCACAACGAATAAAACAGGTATTACCTTATCAACATCAAAGACGAAACCTTTCGTTTTTTTCATGTCATTAGGTTGTGTTGATCTTGAATATTTTGGTTACTATAGTGTTTTGAATTTTTTTATGTATCACATAAATCCGATGATTTTACATTCGAGTTATAGTTTTGACATAGAAAAACTGCTTTTCGTTGAGTAATTTTATCATCACTTCTCACAACATTAAGAAACAACAACAGTTATGAAATTTGTGGCAGGTATGTTTCATAAACTTCATTGATACAGAGTCCTGAAAAAAATTCGATTGAGTTAGAAACGTTGGCAAAAACAATTGTTTTTAAAGATGAATTGTTCCTGCTACCCAACAAATCGTTTTAGAAATAGAAATTTTATTTCAGCTCCATGCCTTCAAAGTTATGCACATGTAAATCTAGGCTAGTGAAAACAAATTGAATGGTTTTCTTCGGGGATCTTCAAGAATTCGTTTTATATATAAACAAAAGTCATTCATTTCTCATACCGTATGAGAAAGTTGGTGCATGGGATAGTAAACGTTAAATCAACCCTCATCCTGAACCTATAAAAGGGTACAAATTTGATTACCCATGAAATCCGTTAACATGCAGTATATTTTGAATAATGCATATAACGGAAACCATTTTACTCAAAATACGAACGTTGTATAACAAGTACGAGGATAACTCATTTTTCTCTCAAAGTAAAAAGAAAGGGGATAACTCCTTTTTCTCTCAAAGTAAAAAAAAAGGCTAGAAAAAAACTGCCTAGTGAAAAAGACAGTAATATACCATCAGTTATCGCCGGAAAGGCGGTACTGACTTTTTTTACATAAGAGCTAAGGACTCACGATTCTCGATTCATGGGTATCTCACTCATTATACAACATTGTTTTCTGTTTGAAAATGAGACAAGCCGATTCTGAACAATTAGTTATTTCATATTCCGTTCAAATTCTGAAAACTCACAATAAATATTACAGTTTCGACAAAAAAAAATATTCAAATTTTTTTTCCGGCTAATCCGAATAATTATTGGAGATATTCAATATTCATTTCCTGTAAAATAATGAGACCTGTTTACCAAATAATTGCTTACATTACATATAATGTTTCTGAGATAATTTAGTAAGTTATACAATTGAACCGTTCGTTCATGAAATAAGAGAAAATAGGTATTATTGGTCATTTTCGCGTTTGTCCTTTTTTTCTAATTTGACGAATGGAATAGTAGTTATTCAAATTGTTTGTCATAGCCGCTATAGCTATGACGTCTTTCGAGTCAGCAACATAGAGATTCTTACGGTTAACCTCATATATGAAAATCTCACCATAAATGGAAAGTAAATTTCCCAATAATTTTTCAATTCAAATTCATAGAATGTTTTGAATAGAAAGATTGAAACTTGGATCCAAGTCTACCGGAAGTTTTGATGAGCAAAATTCCATTTTGAATTTGTGATGAGACTCAGAAAACAAACATTCGTTATGAGGATGAATGTCAGTTTGTATTTCAAGTTTGTATCTTGAAGAATTGAGTGGTTTCCTGAAAGTTGTTGTACATTTAATGTGGTGGGTTATAACTTTCATGCTAGGAATCGCACGTAGAGAAATGAGACCTCTTCAATCCTTAGATCGCCCAAGTATCGCCTTTTGTGGTTTGTCATTCATAGGAAAAGTGACAGCTGGTTAACGAAAAATCAGAGTTCAACAGGTTAATTTTCCGAAGGTAAAAATATATTGATATTCATTACATTGCAAAGTTAAGATAAGAGACAAAATGAATCCGGAAAATTCATTCGATGTGTTCGTTTGATTATTTTTTTCACACAAATTTGAAGAATAGAAATCAAACAATGCGAAACTCAAATCATTTCTGACACATTTTTCCTTCTGGTATTCAATCAATGCGCAATCTAAAATGTATGGCATTATGATTGTTTATAATTTTTCATCGTTGATGATGATTTGAAAACGTGGTAAAGTTATACGGTTTCAGTCAAACAAAACTCACCTGATGATTGCCTTTATCAAGAGTACTCTGATGATGGTCGTTGTTGTAACTGGTATCTAGCCTCAATGAAGGCAGGGTTGGCGTGAATAATTTCGGCCTAGGGGTAGGCTTTTTTCTTGCTCTATCTGGCCTTTGTTCGTGTGAATGATCATCACTGAAGATAGTACCCCCGTCTTCTCTATGAGTGTTGATGTCGGAGATCAGGTCCACCTTGTCAGTCTTATACCCGTGCTTCTGGATCTCTTCGGAAGTAGGAAATTCCCCAGGTTTAGGCCTCACCGAAATATGTATGCTGGCCATAGATTTGCCAGCAACACAAGTATATAAACCGCTGTCTCTCAAAGACAGGTTAGAAACCCTCAGTGCCCCTTTCTTGGAAGTTTTATATTTCTTGGTTTTCGGCAAAAAGGTCTTCTCCTTCATCCACTGTATTTTTGTTCTGTTGAACCGCTTCACCGGGCACTTTATCTTAATGGTGGTGCCAAAGAACACGGTTGCGGCTCCTCCAACTTTCAGGGAAATCTTCTTCTTCTTAGAATCGTGCTGGATAAACGTGCTATTAGAGACGTCAATGTGAGGCTTGTCGCTCTCCACCAGGCAGCTTTTGGTATTGCAAGGCTTGGATTCAAGCGGTTTTGGAGAGGGGCACATAGTGGGCAGTCTATCTACAGTGTGATTCTGAGCCATAACTTGTTTGCACTCTATCCTTCTCGTTTTAACGCCTCCACCACAACTTTTGGAACATCTGGACCACGCGTGGACGCTCCAGCGCACAGGGCAGTCCAAAACGTTGCAATACTGGCGATCTGGGGGTGGAGGTTGGGGACACATATTGTTAGGAACCGTTACGGTATTACCTCCACCTTGTGTGACCTCGTGAATGCAATTGACCTCCCGAGTTTGGATGCCGATACCACAGCTTTGGGAACAAGTTGAAAAGTCTGAGTAGTTCCATCTGGGAGGGCAAGGGTGGTCGTTGCATGTTTGTATCCTTGTCTCAGGCTTCAGTTCTATAGGACACATATAGGGGGAGGTTACTTTCTGAGTGTCATCCCTAACGCAGTTGACTATTAACTCTTGAATGCCTCCCAGACAAGTAGCGCTACAATGCGTGAAGCCCTGCTCCCTCCAGGAATATGATTTTCCTGGAGAGCCAGGGGCTACTTTAATATCTGATCTACTATAGGGGTCATCTTTGATGTCTACGCCCATTCGTTCGGAAGCGCAGGGCTCCATATAGCAGGCTTCGATTTCTATTGGTTTTGGGCCAGTACATTGTTTGTCAGGGAGTTTGGCGATGGTTCTGGAGAACTCCAGAAAAATTTTGCAGTGGACTTCGCGTTTGCGGACTCCTTCCCCGCAGGATACGCTACAAGGACCCCATTCATCTGGTATGAATCTGAAAAAGAATTAGATTATCATAAAAGTAAAATATACAGGTCAGAAACGTGGTCAATGCTCAAAATAAACGAGAATATCAACATGCATATATCGACAAAAATACTGAACAATATAATCATGCAATATCCATAAAACTATGTATAGCATTTCAAAAAAAGTTCTATAACGAATACAAAATATATACATCAGAGAAGAAATGGAAATTGGTGGACTAAAATATATAATATCTCAGTAATCATTTTCAAGATATTATTGATGATACAAAAGATACAGGTTAGGTTAGGTAAGGTCCAAAATGAGTGGGTCTATTCGACCCTCTACTGCAATCCGCAAGGGTTTACTGTGGCTCACATCTATTCACACTCGACCAAATTATCCCAGTTTTTTATCGAAGTCGATTAGTCTGTATGGTGAGTACGACAAGCTATATATTTCTTGATCACATCGTCTACAGCTGAGTTTTCCATTGTTGAACCCTATTTTTTACTCACTGCTTTCTAAGAGGGCAATGATCTCGTAGAGGGCAGTGTCCACTGAGTAGCTTCATGAGCATTCTGAGTAACTTTCCAACCTATCAAAGCAATTTGTTGTTTTCTCATGTCTATATTCGAGTATGGTTTCTCAGAATTATTCATATTTCATAAAGACATTTCTTAATTCTCTATCGTGTTTTGTGTTGGCAGGATATAAAACCAACCTATTTCTTCTGTTTTTACGATATATGAAGAATTAGTTTCGACACTGTGTCTCACTCTCAATACTTCCTTTATTTCCAAACAGGCAAAACTTCACAACCTCTCTAGTATGCTTACATTGTTCCTTTGTTTGTTCCATTCCTTCATTTTCATAAGTGTGACCATCATATTCAACAAGTACATCACGTCTTGTTGCAGCCTTCACGCCTCTTTGTTATCTTGTCTGATAGGCATCAGTGCTAGCTGCAAGTTCCTTTTAATTCATTTTATTCAGTGGTTTTCTATGTGTTGGCTTCATGTTGGTATGGAATATATCATTACTCCTAGATCCTTAACATTATTGTGCAGAAGATATTACAACTTATCCATTATAAGATTCCATACGAGTTGAAACGGAGGAAATACGTTGCTTTCCGTGACACTATTGTTTCTGTCATAATCGTCCTTTATACCAACTACTCAGAAGTATGCAGTTTACTCATGTGCAGTTTGTCTCTTCCATCTTTCTTCTCTCCGACAAATAGATGATTCCAAAAACGTATTTACTAAAAAGGAAGATAACACTAGTACACAGTCAATTTACGACTGTAATGCCGTAGGCAGTTCTTTGATGATTTGTGGTCCCTAAATGCGAAAATGTAAACATTTCCTAACACGCAAGATTTTTGAGTTATGATTTTTTTCACTTGTATTTAATGAACACGACATTCCAAATTTGCTTTTCCCCTAAATTGAGAAAAATGTTTGAAATGTGGCAATATAGCCTCTAAAACAAGTTTGAAAACCAGCCTGCTCCATAATGGTAACAAAAGACTCTCTACTCCTCTTGCACATGCAGTTGCCATGAAGGAAACACACGAAAGGATGTCACTTATTCTAAATGCAATAAGTTATAAGTTGGTGACCTAAGGTCATAGGACTATAACTCGGTCTTCAGGACGAATTTACGAAGTTTTGCTGTTTTCTTTGCCTTTGGGGCAACACAGAACCATTATCGAGTAAAAAAATGGCCTCGAAAGATAAATATATTGCAGGTCAAGCTAACGTGGAAAATATGCCTTTTATTAATCCCAACACATTAAACTGGGGTTAATGAAAAATTTTGTAAAAGCATTAGACAGAGAAGGTGATGCGTTCAAATATCTCTAACACTTTTTTCCAAAATTAAGTGATGCAAAGCTCAAGGAAGGTATATTTGTTGGACCACAAATTGGAAAACTACTTAGTGATCAACAGTTTGATCAAAAATTAAGTAATGTTGAATTAGCTGCTAGGAGTTCTTTCAAATATATTGTTTCGGAGTTTTTATTGAACAAAAAAGTAGGAAATTGCGTAACACTTGTAGAAGAACTTCATGAAAAGTACTGCAAAATGAGATGTCGCATGTCTCTCAAAATCCATTTCTTGCATTCCCATTGGAATTCTTTATTAGAAAATTCGGGTGCAATCAGTGACGAACAAGGGGAAAGGTTCCACAAAGACATACTGACAATGGAGCAACGTTATCAAGGCAGATGGGATACAGCAATGATGGGGGATTATTGTTGGTTCCTTATGAGGGAAAACGATAGAACATATAAACGAAAATCAACATTTGCAAAAAAGTTATGCACAAAAGACTTCATTTGAATGTGTATTGTAGATAAAGTCTCTTTTCCTCAAAATATATTGTTTTTTCTTGTTTCAATCTTATATTTTTCTATTTTGAATAAAATAACAATAACGTGATGGAAAATTTTTGATGTTGAAGTCGCAGTCAGGACGCTTTAAATTCTCATGTATAGCCATTATAATATTAGTTGCATTTTTGCTCTTATCTGTTGGCTAGTGTCTTTCCCCTTCTCGGAAAAACAAATCAAAACTGTCTAGTTCTGATATTTTCTGTTATTTTTTCTTTCATGTATACAAAATAACCAACAAAATATCGATGAGTTCTTTTTTATCGAACTCCCAGAAGCACATACACATCAAGTCAGAGAGAGAATCTCAGACATTGCTTTGATTAAATGAAAATGTTTCACACAAAGCCCAGTCGGCCTTCGTTGAAAAATTCAACAGTGTCTGGCACAACCATGTTAATCGAATTCCGCTCATTTCTGACTCGAATGCCTCTAAAACTAGCGAGCCTTTGAAAATTAAAAGTGAACGGAGTTTACAAAACGGATTTACTGAAATGGATATAGTCCCACAAAATTATTCGTATTTGGAAAAACATGAATGTTCATTCATTTTGAATAGTTTCAGATGAAAACTATCACTCAAAATATTTCAAATAATCAAAAAATAAAAGAATAATAGAATATCCCATTGTCATACGCATGAATCTATATGTATGGGAAATGTATGGAACAATTTTGAAAATTTGATAGTACCTATACAGTGCTGAAGAAGAAAAACATTTGTATCAGCTTTTGAACAATGCAAGAAAATTGAGATCAGACATAATTCACATGAAATGGTATCAGTTTCAGTACTAGATGATTTGTACTACCTCTACATATTTCACCTCCAAACAAAATCCGAATGTTGATAAGTAGGGATGGCGGCACCTTAGACGCTCCCACTCCTACACTTTTGGCTAATCAGAAGCTATCGCGCCTACAGCGGGAAATTCAAATCAGTAAATGAACAACATTGATTCTGGCACAAAATCCCATGTATTTACTTATGCCGCTGATTTTTTCTGCAATTTCCATGATTTCCGATCGGAATCTTGAGGAACATCCAACTCGACATAGTTGTGTTTCGCAGAGTGACTTTAGTGAGTGGAAGAAGGAAACGTGTGACGTAATTGATGCAAAGAAGAATTGAATAAGTATCAGAGAGATTCAAAGAACGTGGGTCCCCTTGGGACTCCGCCTCACCCCTCGGGCCCCTTGAGACTTCTCCTCACCCCTCAGGCCTCCTTAGGAAGAATTATTCAGGTAACATATTTCAAGGTAGAGTAGGGTTTGTAAAATTGATCTAACGTGCTCAGTATGAGATATAATAAATTCAATTTTGCAAATAATATGTAGGTACTCTTCTTAACAACAGGTACTTTGCGTGAAAATATTTTTGTTCTAATCACTTATGATGCACTGTTTGGAACCTTTGGTGTAGTAATGAATATTACTGGAGTTTTTTTCCTAACACCAAATCGTTATTTTTACACCTCGACACGTGTTTCGATCACCAAGTGATCAATTCCAAACAGGAAGATTAAAACTAGAAACTATTGCGAAGCTAGCCCTATTTGAGCAATATAGATATCCCATACAGGTAAACCATCCAGGTGTATCAACCATACAGGTATACCAACCTAAATTAATCTTACAATTTTTCGTTATCTATTATTTTACAATATATGTTTAACTGTTATAGCTGTATATGAAATAATTTTCAGCTTGATACAAATTTCATAATATTGCCTATCTAAATTTATTTTTGCTTGCTATGTGTCGTCCTTATGTAGTAATCAGTAAACCCAACATATATTGTAAAATAATAGATAAGGAAAAATTTTAAAATTAATTTAGGTTAGTATACCTGTATGGGTGATACACCTGGATGGTTTACTGTATGGGATATCTATATAGCATAAATAGGGTTAGCTTCGCGTTGGTTTCTAGTTTTAATCTTCCTCTTCGAAGATGATCACACTTGGTGATCGAAACATGTGTCGAGGTGTTGAAATAACGATTTGGTGTTGGAAAAAACTCCAGTAATATTCTGTTCTAATTAGTTCGTGTTTTTTTTAATAAAATTTTGAGTTCAATACATATTCACACTTATACAAAAGAGTCAAATACCTATAAAAATTATGGAAAATGGAAATTTAAACTTCTTATGTTTCTATTCCATTTTTATTTGTAACTAACGTTACTGCAGTTACGTCCTACAAGAACATTTTCAAACAAACACAGTAAACAAATATAATTGATAATGTATTCCCTTATACACCTATACAATCACTGTCGGTAACAATAGACGGTGCTTAATGACTTTATTACTTTATTTTGTTTACCTGTGACAATGTGGGCACGCTAATCTGAAAACCGGCGGGTAGGCCAGATCAATTTGGTCATTCGGTAGGTTACATTCGCAATGCTTATGTTTATGAATTCTCAAGGATAATAAATTATTGGTTATCCAACCCTTGCCTGCATAGTGCAAAATTTTCATATCATTCAGATACGGGAACTTGTGGTTGCATTCCAAGGAATGGTATAAAAACGTCGATTCATTTCCATCTTGTCTGAAGAACCTTTCATGTTCAGCATACCGTTTTGAGAAAGTTCGCTCACATTGTCTCACATGTACA